AAGGAAAAGGTGTGCACATTTAGCATGCCCTAAAATGTCCTATCAGACCTGAGGGTGCTGTGGTTTTTGTGTTGTTGCCAGGGAACCTTGTGCAAAGAGATCGAGGAGGCAAAGATGCCCAGCAAGATGAGGGGTGGGATCCTGCCCTCCGTGAGCCGCTTTGAGGAGTTTGTTAACTTCTCAGAGGAGGTGTTCCGGACAGCTCGGCGGAGAGGGGAGCTGGACAAAGCACATCGCAGGCTGGCCAGCAGCGTCTTCAGCAGCAGTGAGTACATGGCTGGATGCATCGGTCAGGCAAATGTGTACCTGCGGCTTCAGGAGTTACTAGCCATCAACAGAGGCATCAGATCATCAGGTTCTTCTTCTGACATGAGTAGGGGCCTTGGGATTAGCAGCAGCCAAAGAGCAACCCCCCCTGAAAGATCAAGGTGGATTTGAAGGGACAGAGAGGTTGGGAGGGCAAAGCAGGGGGCTCTCAGCAGATCCTAGTGTTGTCCCATCTGGTGCTCCCAGTGTTGGCAGAGGGACCCACTTCCCAGCTTGGAGAGGACCCAAGGGTCTGCAGGAGTACCAGCTCCAAGCCTCCAAACCACAGACCAGGAGGTGGGGTAGAGAGGCAGCTCCTACCTGCAGATGAACTTGGGGTGACCCACAGAACAGCAGCTCATAAATCCATGAACACACAAGCCCCTTCCAGGCTCTGGCAATATTTACCACAAAGCAGGTGAGTGAGGGAACCAAGCTAATGCTCAGGGATTGGTGTTTGCATTACAGCTAGTTACCCCCTCTGGTACTGGAAGAAGTCAGACAGTTCAAATGAGACAGTCCAATGACATGTTTGCTGCCAGGAAGGAGAAGGGACCTGGATGTCTCTGCACCCTTTTGGGTTATTAAATGTCCCAAGCCCAAAGCAAGGTGGTTGGAGAGCTGAACAGCCTGTGATGATGCTCACCCCAGCTCTTGGTTAAACTCTGGTGACCAAAGCCTGACAGTGTCTGCATCTGATGTCCCTCCTGAGCCAGCCTGCAGGGTCTCCATGTCCGATTTGTTCCTTTCTTTTCAGTCAATAGTCTGTCCTCAACCAACCTGAAGGTGAACACAGATATGGTCATGATGGAAAACTTCCACCACATTCACTGCTTCCTCTGCCAAAAGAAGATCAACTGCCTGGAGGACAGGAAGAGAGAAGCCAAGCAGAGGTATAGCGAGCACATGGAGAAATATGTCATCACGTACCTGGGCCATCCCCTGGAGAAGCTAAATGTGAGTACAGGATACACTGACCCATCTCAAAGGGAAATGTCACTTCACTAAATTATGGATTAACCAGTGTTCCAGTCACCCCTCCCCAAATCCAGCCTGGGACTATATTAATGTGTCATCCCATCCCCAGTGTTGACCACTCGCTGCTGGGTTTCACCACGCAGCACAGCCCCAGCAAGAGCAGGAGCATCCGATAGCCGTCTCTGCAACTCCGTGCAGCAGCATGAGGACCTGCTCAGACCCTCGCTCCGGGTTGCGTGCCTGAGCCTGGCAGACACTGGTTTAATTTTGCACAGCTGCCTGGACTAATCAGCCTAACACAGCTCCACGCTTCCCAAGCGGCTGCTTTGTTATCTGAGCTAAGAGCATCTGGCTTTGCTAACTCCAAGAGGCATCCCCCTTCCTCCCACAGCTGACAGCTGCTCCCGAGACCCTCCTTGCTCTGCTCCTTCTCTCTTCTCACTGGCCTAAAAACGTCCCACAGGCTAAGATCGGGTTGAATTTTTTATAGGGCCTGTTGCTTTCAACTTGTTTCCAGTCTTTGCTGTCAAACATCTCATAGTTTTGACGGGAAGATCAGCTTGGTGTCTCATGCTACCTGCAGCCCTGCGATGTTAATGCCTTCAAATCCTTCCTCTGCACAGGGAAGTAGAGTTTCATTGCTCAGAACAAAGCAAGTAATACATGAGGGTACTCAAAGGCCCTGTTTTCCTGGAGGATAAATGATCTCCAATACTTTATTTACGCTTAATTAGACATGGGGAGGGAACTGAGGGAAGCAGTCAGGTTTCCAGTCCACCTTGGGGCAGCTCATCTCCTTACCTTCGCAGCACTTCTTTGAAGGGGTGAAAGCCCGCGTGGTTCAAGGGGTGAAAGAAGAGGAGGTCAGCTTCCAGCTGGCCTACAGCAAGCAAGAGCTGAGGAAGGTCATCGAGAAATACCCTGGCAAGGAAGTGAAAAGAGCCCTTGAGACCCTCTACAGGAAAATGCACAAGTACCTCTCCCCAGAGGAAAATCTCTTGCCGGTAATTGGGGTGTAGTGCTGTGATGCTTTGCAGGGTTCAGGACTATCACGGGCTGCTGAAGGGAGCTGACGGTCTCTTTTTCCCCAGGTGGTGTGGCACGCTATGGAGCAGGAACTCATCCGTCAGTACCAAGAGTTTGAGGATCTGATCCAATGCTGTTATGCAGAGTCAGGGATTGCCATGGACTTCACCATGGAGGACTTGCTGAACTACTTCAGCTCCATCACCCTGTCCAACATGTAGAGGCACCCTCCTGGGATGTCTGTGGGGAGCAGCTCAGGAACCCTCATCTGCAGCTACACCTTTAAGGAGCTGAACTCAAACCCCATCCTAAGCTGAAGTTTGATATATGGGGGTTCCATCCTGAACCCAATGCCAGAGTGCCTCTCTCATTGGTCTTAGGCTACAACACACTCAGACATGCAGTTGTGTGTAGCTTTACTATATCCAGGTATGAGAACATGCACAATTACTCTACCAGCTCTTCAATAGCGATTGATGAAAGTTCAGAGTTACTAATATAAAAAGATCTATTGCTTTTAGCTAAGAAAGGATTTACTTGCCTGTGAACTGGAGTGGAGCAGTTTCCTGTTCTTACCCCATTTTCTTATGAAGCATCCCACAGCAGTGTCACAACTTGCTAATGCATATTTCTTGTTCAAAATATAGCCCCTGTATCTTCTGATGCTAATCATGGGCTAACACACGATTCCATTATAACCTTCCCTCCAAAAAGCTGAAGACGCTGAACTCTTTGGTTCAGTACAAAACAACAGCCAGGTCCATAACAACAGCACAGGATCCAGGACATCAATCTCTGAGCTGAAGTCCAGACCAGCAGCCAGACAGAAGCACATGTAGGGCTGCAGTGGAGACCAGCACCATTACATCCAAACTCAGACATAGAGTGAAACCCCTGAGAAGAGCTTAAATATGCTCCAGGGCCCATGGATGTGGGTGGAAGCCCCGGGTGAGGCTGGTCAGGACTATTAAGGCCAATTAGTGCTCTCAAAGCCCAGTCAGGGGTCACTGTCAATGGTCCCGTTACTAGCACCTGTGGGAACAACTTTGGGGGTTTTAATAGAAAAAATATCGTGATTTTTCCTACGATTAAGATTTATGTCTCATTTCTTCTCTGTCTGCCTGCTCAGCTAGACTCAGGCTGGCTGTCACTGGTGGCTTTTGCACCAAGCCAGCAGTTTAAATCCATCTGTGACTATTGCAGCTCCCTTCCTGCCCCAAAAGTGGGAACTCGGCCTTGGTGTCTGACACACAAAGCACTCCTGAGGCTGAAGCTCTGCTCTCTGCATAAATAGTTATTGGGTTCCTGTCACCTGGGATGGGAAAAAGCAGTGACGAGATGGCTGCACGGAGGGGACAGTGTCTAAAGTCAGTGAGTCAGACCTAGATTGATGCAGAGATGAGGGGGAAATAAGGTGCTGTGGAGATGCTAGCATCAGGCAGGAAACATTGTCCCCCAGCTTGCAGCCCATACTGCTTTCCCTGTTTTCCCAGTTAGGCAGCAAGAGGGCTTTGCTCTGGCCCTTACACCAGCTGCATGTGTCTGGCCTCCACATCCCTGCTGCTGAGGGAAGGATGCAACCTGGTACTGCAGCTGGGAGAGGTTTGCTCCTCTTTTCCATCCCCATGCATGACACGTTCCTCTGGACTGTTTGTTTCAGCCATTTTTGGAACAGCAACCTCCTTGCAAAACTTGACCCCCCCATGGCAACAAGTCCAGAGCTTGGGAGAACCATCGGACCAGGGAGAGGAAGATCAACACTCCTGCCTTTTTCTGTCTAGAAGAGGCATCCAGGGTCATTCCAGGAGCAATGGCATGGAGCTGCACGTGGCATGGAGGGAGGCATGGCTCATCCCTGCGAGGAGGACGGTGTGTCAGCGGAGCTGGAGCCGGGGGGGGTCTACCACAGCAGAGCCCCCTTCGACTCTGACTGATGGTGCTCAATTACTCCTGGGACTGTCTGAAGCCTCCTTCTTTCTTTAATTATTTAAAAATCAATTCTTCAATTATTTAAAAAAGCATAAAACACTGAAGAAGGGCTTGGGGTTTTTCAAGGAGAGCAGTTCCCCAGCTGGCCACATCGTGGTAGCAATGTCATCGTCACGGAAACAGTGCTAGGAGGCAGAGAGGACTTTTCCGACCTCTGCCGCCAAAGCCTCTCTAAAATGGAAATAATCTGTGAATTGTACTTTTTTTTTTTTTCTGCTGCCATTTAATGGGGAATCCAGAATTCTTCATGATGCGAAAAAAAAAATGCAAAGCCCTACAAAATTCAGATCTTCAGATTATCCAAAACTTGCGCCAGGGGTGGCCGGAGGGATGAAAGCTCCTTTCAGCTCGAGTTGAATTGTTGGTGGGAACTAATGACAAAAGCTGCCACGGGACAGAGGTACCACAGGCACCTCATAACCTTCCCCTTGTGGAGGGGACCCCAGGGGAGGGACCGCCACGGAGGGACCCCACCGCGCTCCTGGAGCCCGATCGGCGGCTGCTCTCCAGGGTGCTGAGCGCCCTCCGTGTGTCCAGCCCCGCCCGCGGGACCCCACGCGTGGCTCCTTGTCGTGGTTTTGACCCTGGCTAGTAACAAAACACCACAACAGCCGCTCCTCGCCCTTCACTCTCCCGGGGATGGGGAGAGAATTAAAGGGGTAAAGGGAAAAGAGACTCGTGGGTTGAGATAAGAACAATTTAACAACTAAACTACAATGAAATTGAGCCTGAGCGTCCAGGAGATGGAGAGCTGACCAACAGAGCACAGGGCAACCCAGAGAGAGATGACCCAGAGAAGGAGAGAGCACTTCTGGACAGAACCTCATCTAACCTGGCCATGCTGTGCATGGGATGGAACAGACCATCGTCCAGTTTGGGTCTCAATCCTAAACCCAAGGTCGAATCCTGGGCTGGTCATTGGGGCTGTGCTCCCTCCCAGCTCCTCCTGCCCCTGCAGACACGGGCACAGCAGAGAAGCTGGAAAGTCCTTGACTGTGCTGGCAGCAGCTCTGCCCATCAGTGCGTGATCAGCTTCTCCTCAGCACAAACCCAAACAGCCTCACACCAGCTGCTGGGAAGAAAGTCAACTCTGTCCCAGCTGAAACCACGACAGTCCTGTCCACGGGGGAGGGTTGATGCCCACAGGAGATGGCTGATGGAAGCATCCTGCTCCTGCCAGCCCTGCTTCCGCTTTCTCGAGCTCTCTACTGGTCAGGGCTTCTCCCTGGCCAAGTGTTTGTGCCAGCAGAGCCCTATTAATTTCTGGTGTGGGATTGTAGCTATTGACTGATTGCTAACATGGATCCTGCCTGGCCGTGCACTGCAAGCGTCCTTTCATTCACTGAGCTTGCTACCAGAAATATGTTTGTGGAGAAATGTTTCCTTTTCGTAATTTTAAGTGTCATTTATCTTGGAACAGCAGTAGAAAGAAGAGTAATGGCTCTTTTCTCATTCACCCTGAGAGGAGAAGTTAGGGGCTTTGGTGGCACCATATTAACCGCTGAATATCCTGAGCGTCACACAAGCTGGTCTATGATTTTCACAGGTCATTTTTTTCCTTGTTTCTTTTAAGGCCTTGCTTCCCTTGCCAGCGGTTTGCCTGCTAATTAGTTAAGGATATGAAACATTTGGAGTTTGAAAGTGGAAATAATGAGTGATATGCTTTCCTGGGCTGGGATGCTGGAGGTGTTTTCAGGGTCCTAGGCTTTTAGAGGAAATACCATGAATTAAAAAAATAAATCTTAGGTATATCTTTAGCTCCTAGATGCTCTGGAGAAACCACTTACTGATTCAACTGATGAGGGGCCAAATAAAAGGCAAGTTGTACCTACTGGCCTTCCTATGCCTTCACTTCCTAATTTTACACATTGTCAGCATTGCATCTGATGGGACAGACAAGGCATGAATGGGTTTTAGAAGGGTTTCTGGATCTTGGGGACAAAATGTAGCCTGAAACGCAACTGAAAAGCTCTTTTTTCTGCTCCAGCACCAACAGGTAAAAGGTGCTAGTTTCCTCCTCTCCTGCTCAGCTTCACTGCTACGGGGCATCACTGCAGCATGGTGCAGGAGGCATGGAAATGAGAACATTGGAACAAATGTCAGGACACTGAAACCATTGATAACCCACTGAGATGCATTGTTCCCTCCACTGAAGCCCATCTCAGTTCCGTCTCACATTTGATCCCCTTGAGAAATGTTGAGCTGACTTGGAAGGCACTGGATCTCTGGGTTTCCAGTTCATTGGGCTGTGAAACATGGAATGATGTGTTTGGCTGGCTCGAACCAAGGGGAACTAGAAGCTTGTCATGGAAACTTAACAAGTATTTGAAATCGGTTGCTTAACAGAGAAACACTGGGTAACTTGTCTTTGTTGAGAGGTCGTGTTTAACCACAGCCAGGCTTTGCTGGCTAATTGCTATTGTTGTCACCAGGAAAAACAGCCTGCATGGGCTCCATGTAAATACATGACCCAGGAGAAATCACTGGCCACAGGCCCTGTCCTGGCCTCTGCAGGGTTCCTCATCTATTGGAAAAACCTCTTTATTGCATAAGTTCAGATTAAAACTGAGAACCTGATGGTCTACATAACATAGCATTAAATCTTTATGCAGAAAATGAATTTACTTCAGTTCTTTATTCAGAAAGATTCAGTGTGAGTATGCCAGCCAGTATGAGAGTGGATTAACAGGTGGGCAAACAGTTTTGCTCTGGTGGCGGGGAAGTTCTCTGCATAGACCACTACCAGCGAGCTAGAAAGGAACTGGTCCACATTCCTTCTTGTCTGTCTAGTGCCATCTTGGTCCCCCTTGCAGAAGGGGACCCTCACTTCTGCAACAGATTCTGCACCTATGTCATGATCATATTGGAAACAAATCCTTTGGATCAGGCATCACAGTGTTTGTTCAATGTTCAGAGGAGTATTGCATCATTCTCCATCCCACTGTTCAGAAAGGGCGCTGGGTAAGAAAAGCCTTTTGATGAAGGGCTGCTCAGGAGCACAAGTACCGATTTCATCCCAGATGGAAAGGTGAGTTACAAACGGAGTCTCAGTAAGATTTCCCTCCTCTCAGGGGAGAGAAACAGGAATTTCCCAAGGTAGGTCACAGCATATACATGCCCAAGTCACTCTCCAGAGGTGCCCATCTCTGCACGGACTAGAGACCACCTCTGAAGAAGTGCCCAGGCGACCAGCCCAAAGCCAGGAGGGATGACATGGAACAGGGATGTAGGT